CGATTCCTCAGCACCACATAAGCAAAAAGAAAAAAGCCAGAAGTGGCGCTGTGGCTCAAGTGGTAGAGCGCTAGCCTTGATCTGAAGAGCTGAGGGACAGCGCCCAGGCCCAGAGTTCAGGCCCCACAACCGGACCCAAAAATAAAAAAAAAGAATTGTAACTAATGAAAAGCAGAAGTTGTTCTTAGGAATGGCTTGGCATTATTGGTTCTATATGACTGTCAATGCTCCTACTTCACTCATCTTCAGGACAGACCTTGTTAATGAAAGGACATGAAGAGATAGGGCTGCCTTTTGAGAAGACAGACAAACTGGATAGACAAGGAAAACTCAATGTCCTGAGGATGATTTAACTCCAGGATCCCTAAAGAACACTATGCCATTATGTAAGCAAAAGGAAATGCCCACTTACACATGGAAGCAGAGTACAGAGCCTTATGTTTTCCCATGCAGATTTGGATAATATACCTGAACCTTACCTCAGGAAGAATTAAGATTTGAGTTTCATGCCTCTAAGCATGGCTGCAACCTGAATGGGATTTATCTTCTGCAAAACTCATTTTAATGAATGACATTAGTGTACAGTGGGCTCCAGGAGCTTGATTAAATAAAGTCTTCTCTAATAATTGATGTTTGACTCCAGTTGCTAACACAGAGTTTCAACATCTTTTGGAATCTTCTGGGTGCTAATATATTCTGTGCTAATGAGGTGACACTTAATGGACTCTAGAGAGTTTAAGGATGGAAAGAACTCACCAAAAAGGTACAGTACTTAGCTTAGTACTCACAGTACTTAGCTTAGCAATCTCAGCACTATATGATATTAATGGAAAAAGAAAAAGAAGAATTAGTAACTAGTCAAGCCCATGATGTAGCTATGATAGAGGATAGAGACAAGGGAAACCACTACAAGATGGAATTTGGGGAAATTAGGGTGGGTAAACACACCTGGGGCCTGAAAGATTACTAAAACAGGTTGACACACATGTTCTATTAATGAATGGAATTTTATATGTAAAACCCATAGTTATGTGGGCAGTCAGGGAAAAGTGAGATTGGGAGTGAGTAGATGAGGAAGTGAATAGGAGAGGGATTGGGTGGATTAGAGACTCCCTGGATTGGGTCTGAGAGGTGGGGAGTCAGCAAGTGACTCAGAGACTCAGTACATGTACGAAACAATATATGAAATAATGGCCAATTTAATGAAAGAGTACTGGGGGTGAAAGGATAAGGGTGGAATGAAGGAACACATACAAGAGGAAGCGAAAGAGTAGAGTATTTGGGGGAGGAGTGAAAGGAAAGATGGACTCATGATTACATAGGGTGAGGGAGTGAATGGGAGACACGCAGTTGAGTGAAAGGTGAACAACCAGTGAAAAAGTGAATATGCCAGTGAGTGACCTCCACTGGAAGGCAGAGAATGAAGGAGATAAAAACAAACTGGTGAGTAATTAGCAAGAACATTAGTTAAAACTGAACAAGAGGGCAGGGGAGTGGGGATTGTGAAAAACAAAAGAGAAAGAAGTGAGAAAAATGGCTGAGCTTAGGCTTGAGGTGGGGGGAGCAGCTCAGGGGGAAGGGGATATGCAAGTGATCAAGTATTTGAGTGAGGTGAGGGCATCCTTCAGAGTGGTGGGAAAGGAAGGAAAGCAGGACAGAGGGACAGAGGGAGTGAAAGACAGAGGGAGTGATGCAACACAGGAGGGAAGGAGGCAGGGAGGGTAAGATCAGGAGGGAAAGGGAGAGAGGCAGGCAGTGGATGGGCCAGTGGTGGAGTGTGGGGTGAGTGAGTGGTGGATTGGAAGCCTGGGTTTGGAGATTGTGATGGGCTGAGGCTGGAGAAAGGGGAGTGGAGGCTCAGTAAGATTCAAGAAGGAAGTCAGGCACTTGACTCAGGTGTGTGTGTGTGTGTGTGTGTGCGTGTGTGTGTGCGTGTGCGCAGGCGCGCGAGCGCTGCTGCTCCCAAGCACACTCGTGCTAGGATAGGCTGGTGGTGTTGGTGCAGTG